ACGAGTCCATCTATGCATGTGGTGATATAAGACTAAGTTAATATCGGTGGCTGTGGATGTCCTTACACTACAGAAGTCACCAAATGCTGTCAATCATGAGTTGATATACTGTTCTGTTGGTTGTTTAGGTCATAGTCAGGACAGTTTTCTTCTATGTTGTATGGAAATTATTTCAGAAAAGCACACGACATGTCCTGGAAGGTGAAATTGTCTTTGGAGTCTCTCTATAGTGTTTCTAATAGTGAGACACCAGGACCACAGCAACTCTTATAAAGGAAAACATTTAATTAAGGTGGTTTATTGTTTTAGAGGTTTGGTCTGCTATCATCACCATAAGACATGGTGTCACGCAGGCAGATGTGGTGCTGGAGAAGGAGCTGAGAATTCTGTATCTTGATGCACAGAGCAGGAAGTGAACTGAGGCATAGTTTCTACAACAAAACCACATCTCCTAACAGTGCCACTCTCTATGAGCTTATGGGGGTCAGTTACATTCACACTACCACAGACCCAATACCAGAAAAGTCAGCCAGGACCTATGTGTGGAGCCAAGCAAGACACCTGCCTGACAGTAACATTACTAGCCAGCACCCAGAATTCCCTAACACTGTTGTTCAACTGTCCAGGATACAGCAAAATGCCATGCCCACCACATAATCAGGAAAATCACAGATTGAATGAGAAAATTAAACTGTACCAACATCAGTATGAACCAGATGTTGGAAAATTACAGCAGGTTATTAAAGCAGCATCATTTAGTACTTTAGTAAGCAATGACGAGTCCACTCAAACAGATAAAAACAAATCAACAGCAAGAACCCTCCCCCAATGGACAGTCTTGCTGAATGATATTACAGACTGAGAGGAATTAAGTGGAAATTGCAGAATTGCAAATTGAAAACTTATTACTGTGCTCAACAGTTGAGTGAACATGGCAGACAACAGAATGCATGAACTCAAAGAGAGATAATGGGGTTCACTGAGTCTGAATAACAAGGAGAAAACAGGGCCAAGGCCGTGGACAGAGCCCTGGAACTCCAGGACAATAGGAGACCTAAGATTTGCCCCGCTGGAGTGCCAGAAGAAGAGGAAAATGGTGAAGGGCTGAAAAAATACTCAAAGAAATAAATGCTGAGAACTTCCTAAACTTGGTGAGACATAATTTTATGGATTTTGGAGCTGAGTAAAACAACCATCAGGTAAATCCATTTTTTAGTGAGGACCTTAAGATGCCTAAGAGAGAGGACGAGCTTCAAATCGATGACCATGAATTTGTCACCTGAAGCCACCGGGGACAGTAGAAGTTGCACACCAGCTTTCAAGTGCTGAAGGTCAGAGCTGCATTGATGGATTCTACATCTGCCCAGACCGTCCTTCAGGGCAGGGAAGAGGAGGAGACAAACATGTCCTTAGACAAAGAAAACGAGCAAACCTCCCTGGAGTCCGTGCACTGCAGCTCATCTTCCCACATGCCTCCTCCTCCTTCCCACCGCAGGTGCCTCAGTGGCCCTGAGAGCCTCTGACTTGTCTCCTGGCTCACCCCTGCTCATCCCCACTACCCATCAGCCTTTGCATCTCAAACCTCGACTCCCATGTTTAATAATGGGTTTTTGAATTATTATCCAGAATGGTGGGTCTCGTTATGGCGTGTTCACACTGTGTGCTTTTGTTGACCCTCCTCCCCATCTGCCCCTGTCCTTCTGCCCCACATGTAAAAATTAAAATCTAGTATCCTTCTCTCAGAGAGAATCTGTGCCATTTGTTTTCCTGTACCCAGGTTATTTTATTTATATAGTAATTCTCAAGTCTGTCTATTTCCCTAACTTTATGATCTCAGTTTTCTTTATGGGTGAGTACAGTTTCATTGTGTGTATGCACCACGTTTTCTTTGTCTGTCTGTCACGATGGACATCAGGGCTGCTCCATTTCTTAGCTACTGAGAACAGTGCAGTGATAACCATGGTCTGCAGACATTTCTGTGGTAGGACTGGGTCCTTTCAGGTCACACCCAGCAGGCAGGGGTGGGGGGCGAAGCTGGGCCATACTTTGGTTTTGGTTTCTTTCTTTCTTTCTTTCTTTCTTTCTTTCTTTCTTTCTTTCTTTCTTTCCTTCTTTCTTTCTTTTTTTGAGACAGGATTTTTCTGTGTAGCCT